AAAATAAATGAAACGAACTTAAGGCTTACACAGACCAACCCTACTACACGCACTGTAACATTTAAACCAACTGTCACAAAAAAAAAAAAAAACAAAAAAAAACAAAAAATGAAAGGAAGACGAAGGCGAAAAACAAAAAGAAAAAGAAGAAGAAGAAAAAGAAGGTCTAGGAGAATGTCACTTTTGTTTTTTTGTTTTTTTTTTTCTTGCGTTTTGAAAATGTCAGCCCAGTTTCTGACCTTCCTTACAAAAACTGAGCAGAGAGAAACCGTACAAGTACCTCAGACGTAATGACTCTGTGCTTTGTATTAGTCTCACTCATTGCGACGTTATGCGCACGTAACATTATTCATTTATTGTTCTGCTTAATTTGTAACAAGTCATGTGCTGAACTCTTCACGGGTGCTTATAAACAACCTACATATGAATGAATGTATATATGTATGCACGCATACAAACAACTGGCGCCATGCCCAAATGTAATTATTGTAGCTTTTAATAAAGAAGTCCTTATATATTAAAAATAACAAATATAAGTAAAAACATGCATGCATATATATATATATATATGCATCCATGCATATATACTATCTTAGATGCGGATACACGTTAATATCTGTTTGCTTTCCATACCAAATTTAAATCTCCCACTTGACTTGAATCAACAAAAGCAATAACATTCGTTTCATTGAATGCGAGCACATTTGCTGCTGCTTTCACACTACCCACCCACTCGAGTAGTTATCTGCGTAACACATTGTAAAAACAAAATTAATAACTGTCTCCACTGTATACAATTACAGTAAATTAGAAAAAAAAAAAAAAACAAAAAAAACAAAAACGACACGAAAAACAATGGCATTCGCAATGCAATCCACCCACCATTTTAGACCAATTGATGGTGGTCTGACCGACGTCTTTTTCACCCACTTCTAATGCATAAAAAGTCCAGACGACATAAATAAACATGTTTATGTGCATATAACCTGCTTCTATAGATCTACATACATACATACATACATACATATATATAATATGTATATATATAATATATATATATATGTGTGTGTTTTTCATATGCACGCGCTCTTATACATACATTATATTCTCAAACATTCAAGTTTATTTTAACAATAAATTTATGTTCCTATCTGTAGGTCTGGATCCAAGTCTGCCTTAAATTTATTGGCAAACGCCAACTTCAAACGTTAATGTAATACAGCAAGAGACATACCCGCATGTTAGTTGCATATACATATGCATGCATGAGTAAAGTTATCTACTACTATAGCAATGCTACGTCTCTCCTTAGTCGGCATAATGCTTAGCAAATAATTTGTAAAATAATTGTTTCTCTTCTGTTGTTGTTGTTGTTTTTTTTTTTTTTTTTCTATAACAATAACAATATATTGTTTGTAACAACTGCATTTTAGTGTAAGTCCTTACTTACGTAGGCTTGTGTGAAAGGAATGCAAGAATTCTTTGGTAAAGGGTCCAAAAAAGTTAAAGATCAAATCTTTTGATAAGCATTAGTTTATTTATTCTTGCATACCCACCAGCACCATTAGAGGAAGAGGGACGCTTGACAGTACACTCATTGCATTCTTGCAAATATTTACATAAATGCGTTAGAGACACTGCCAACGCGACACATACCACTCTTGATTAAGCTGATATTCTAGCTCGATTTAGTTATATTTGTCCGTAAGTCTTATCATTTTCCAACTTGCACTTACTAAAAAAGTTTACAAATATTAAATCCTTAAATGGAACCTAGAAAGTTAATTGATTTTTGCGTCAACTGTTTACAAGCGAACCAAATGAAATACAAACTTTAGAAACGGTCACGATTCCGCACATCAGATCGCCTTCCATCATTCTGAAGCTCATTACAAAATATCAAAAGGCAAACCTTATTGCCATACAAAGGCTTAATCTTCACCAGATCTCCTATTATGAACCAATGTGGTCCGCACTTAACGCAGTAAATTTATTTCTTCGCTCACTATTATGGACCTAGGTTCAGTTTCTATAAGAAGGTTTTTCTAAAAGGGATGCAGAAAAATGTTCGAATCGCGATTTAGTTTTTCTACATCCCCTTAATGGACCACCGTTTTGGTTTTTTTTTTGTTTCTTAATCTTTATATGTCGGGAAATATTTCAGAATAGGACCTTACATGAAGAATGGTCGGAACGGAAATGTATCGAAAATTTCGACCTGTAGATTGACCATAATATACGCGGACAAATGCAAAGGATAGACGGATAGAGATACGAGGAAGTACGCGTTGATTGATTCGGAAAATTTAATTCGATATCGATCCGTATACTAAGCGGTATATCTGTCGACAATTATTACGAATGTTGCACACATCCTTACCGCAAGTGACGTAAGGCATAAATATGCAGACAGACATATATTGCTATAAAACTTTATTTGTACTCTGTGAATAAAAGTAGAATTGCAATCTGAAGCACTCATGCACAGAAAAAAATCAAACAGAAAATTAGTAAAATGCCAACTGCTGTTGTCTCTCTACAGCATATTACTAAACGGGTGGACACGATTGAGAAAAAAAACCGAGGAGCTTGGGTTATTCAAAGTCGAGGACGAGAAAAGAAGTCAAGTGTTTTTGCTTCGCATTTTTTGGATACAAAGGAAGGAGTTAAGCTTTGAGTCTACAGCGCTTATGCAAAAATGATTTTAGAAATTTAAAATCGTGAATAAATTAATCACTAAGTGATCAATGTCCAATGCTCAATGTCCAAGGGTATTTCGAATAGTAAAAGATGAACGATAATTAAAAAATTAAAAAGAACAAAAAAAAAAAAAAAAAACATTTGCTTCTTCTAGTTACTTTTAAAATTTCCTGTACCGTGTTTGACTTTTGCCGTCTTCTCCATTCCTTACTAAGAGCACTTTTTTGCCTTGTTTTTGATGAGCAAGCAAACAACCGGAAGTACAGCAATGTCGCATGATCGATCACTACTTTGCACAAAACTTGAAAGGAAAACGCATGGCTTTTACCTCAAATCACGAAAGTAGCGAAACCTACTGAGCAAATAACCATCCACCAGCGTGCGATATAACTTCAAGGAATGAGAGGTATATAGTGTTTTGCAAATTGTATGAGACTATCAGAGATTGTTTGCGTTTAATATAACTACGATAAGTATCTATACATAGCTTGTGAACAACACTGGTTACGAAGAATAACTTATGGAAATCTTGTCTACTTGCTTTTCAAAATCTAATTAAAACATACAAAACCGAAATTCAAGATTTTGAGCGAATTTAAGGCCGCATACGCCATTCAGTGTAATTGGCCCACATTTTAACCTTGAAAAAATCAGTTAATCGAAAGATAGAAAAGTGCATGAATGGTTTTATGCGATTAGCGTGTAATTGAGTGAAAAAGTCCAATTTCCGATCAAAAAAGAGCAAATTTTCTGTTTTGAAAAATTGTGGTTGGGAAGAAAAACGATTTTTTTTTCTTCAGAGGATGTCCTTTGTTCGTGCCACATAGTGACGGTCAGTAAGAAGCGGAGAAAAGCGAAAGAAACAGGAAGGTGGGCGTGTGCCCAATCGATAAGTGCTGTGGGTTTAGCGACTGGTCAATGAACCTCTGCCTCTCCACTCTCCACTCACCACTATCTCTCTCTCTGTCTCTCCGCCGTATTTGAGGTTTGAAGCGCGTCCAAAGTCTTGAAATCTGTTATCGGCATATTTTTGTTTGCTATAATAATAATTTTTGGTTTAGTTTCCAATCTCTTCCAATATGCAAACATTTTCTCTTATTATTATAAGCAGTTTTTTTGCTGAACCCGTCAAAAACCGAATAACTCCGTAATACTATTATTGTTATTATTATTATAATTGTTTAGACTAATGACATAAATTCTTAGACTAAGAGAAATCATTGACCATTAACAACACGGGCTGATAGCCCTAGCTCTATCATAGAAAAGACAATTAGATATTGAGCCTAATAGTTTGAATAAAGTAATATATAAGCGCATCAATGCTGCGCTCTGTGGCCGATTGGTAATTGTCCGTAGGATTAGTGGTTCCAAATGCAATTCTTCTAATAAAGTGACAGTGACCCCAGTCACACAGAATGTGGTTTATTGTAGGAATTTGTCCACAATTGCATAATGAAGAAGAAGACTATTTTAAGACGCACTGGTATGTTACTAATCTTCACTTCCCCATTATTGAGGGTTAACAGAGACGTATTGTAGATCTCCTTCCATAATTTTCTCTTTAAACTTCATATTAAAACTCAAGGCGAACACATATTTTCACTTTGATAGAGTTTTGGACTCGTTTCGAATCGCGATTCACCGCATATGTATTCAATGGTTGTGTCGATGAAGGTGCACTAACCGTCTTCTCTTTGGAAATCCTTAGAGAAATTAGTGTTCAATAGGGGGGACATTAGGCTTGAATTTCCTAGGAGAGATCCATTTAAAGAAGGTAGGTTTTTCGGAACGTTTCGGGACTACCCTACAATTTAAAGAAAGGATCCGAGTCTCTATTATTCCAACAAAAAGAAAAAAATCTATTTTCTGAAAAGTTCATAGCGGTGCTAGACCTTAGGTTGCTGCAATTAAGTTACACATGTTACAAAACGGTTTGACTTACTTCATAACAGGCAGATGATGAAGCCTTTATTTTGGTTGCAAAATCGCTTAAACGAAATCAGGAGTTAATGCTAACTGTGTGTAGGGACCTCGTCGCTCACCTCAATCCGATACGAATTTAGTGCGCCTTGCATTTTACTGCGGCAAAGACGTTCACAGCCCGTACAATGTATTTGGCTGGAGCGTCGGGGGTATGAGCACAAATATAAATATAGTCTAATAAGATGTTTAATGCGAATGAAGCGATGATAAAATTATTTTGTTTCTCATGCTGCGGTGATGCTTTACGTATGAAACGCTCAAATGCATTTTAGTTATTCAACATATTTTTTGGACTCTTCTTTTTTTTTACGCAGGCATACAATACAAAGACTGCCTTATATGAAGATATAAAATATCAATATACCGACATTATATTAACCAGCAGCTACTTGGACCCACTGGAAGAGTGTCTGCGTCCCATATTTCAGCATACCTATGGTAAGTTGAATGGAATTGAAAACAAATAAATACATGGCCCTGATGGCTAAATCTAATGTTTTAAGAAATGCTTTCACAAATTTTGCTGTCGCAAGCCGATAGATGATAATGGCCGAATCTCTTGTTGCAATTTCAATTAGGTTTGCTTGTAATTACGTAATAGACCAGTACGCAAAGACCGATATGCACTATAACAGAAAGCTTTCGCTCATTACAAAAGGCAAATTTCTGTAAGACATATGTTAATCACGTGACAATTCAAAATTAATTTAAAAGTTTAAAATTATTAACAAACAAGGTCGAGAGGTCCTTTTACAAAATACTGAAAACCACAGCATATTGTCACACTTATTCAAAGAACTTTTGTATATAGAAGAGGTGCAGAGAAGTACATCTGTATGATCTAAACTTACTGTGCAAAGTCAGTTTGCCAAGTCACTGTGGTAGGGCGGGCTACTTTCATTGCAAAAAAATAACAAAAATGAACCCATGTTGCCATTGTCTACATGGTAAAGGTACAAGATATGACTTCATTCCATCGAAATTTTCAACATTAATTTGGTACATCACAATAACACGAATTCGTGTCGAATCGATTAGAAATCTTAAATGTAAAGAACGATTCGATTCAGCAGACTATTTGCAGTAGAATTTACTCTCCGACTTAGACAGGTGAGCGTAGCAAGCTTTAACCAACTATTGTGAACTGAACAATTGAATGCCAAAGTAAATTGATAAGCATTGGACTGGCGAAGGCAGGAACAGTCTTAAATCGATTCAGATATGAGAAGAAAATATGAAAACACTATACCATAAGTTGTGCAGGATATAAACCTTACCTGCAAAAAATAGACGATGGTATGTAAATCGTAAACTTAATAGAGATATTGGTGAGAATAGTGAAGATAGATTAAGACTTGCCACTCATTCGCACGAAACGCAGCGGGTGGACAAACGCAAGAGCCCAAATTTTCAAGCGAAAATTTCTTTTTTAAATGAAAGCTTATACAACGATATACAAACTGCTAGAGGAATTCATAAATTTTACTCTGTTGTTGTACCAAATTCGTCGGAAATGAAATGGCTCAGCCTTATTTTTAATCAAAACCAATAAATCAAAACAATAAAACAATAACACAAATAGGTCACTTGATACCGTTGATGAGTACAGTGAAACATACTGGGCTCACATTACATCCCAATATCGTAAATATACTCCCGAATCTCGTTCGAACTGGCACAATTGGAATTTCACATCCTTTTCCTCTCGCCGCACCCGAAAGATTCGCCGCCCAGCAAGCTACAATTTTTGCTCACAAAAGAAATCGTTGTGCTATAACTACCTGCTATGATGATTTCTGTAGTAAGCGACCTTCTCATTGTTTGTCTACTTTGTTTAACACTTGCAACGCTCGCACTTCAAGATTAATAATTTCTAATAAAGTCAGTAGCTAACAAAAATACAAATATTAGCTGAACACGTATGTGAGAATTTGAATGCGTGAGAGCAGACGTAACTACGTAACTACAAGCAGGTATCATCCACATCCAGCGATATGTGTCCCAAAGGGAATTTCAGCCTTTGCTCAAAGTGATGAAAATGAAGAAAATCTATAAAGTAGAAAATAAAAGTAAAAAATTGACTAAAATTTACTTTCTTTCGTTTGACTTCGAACGAAATAAAATAAAATATTTCGTAGCGTTATGACTGAATCGAATTTTAAAAAGCAAT